TTGGAGTTCGCCATCACTGGAGCAAGCAAGCCTCCCTGTTCGCTTCAGTGCATGGCTGCCGGCCGCCATCTTGGCTGACGGTTAATTTGCATAAGGATATGCTGATTAGCCAATGGGAAGGGTAGCGGTCGTACGCTAATTACCATGTTTCTCTTTTATTAGTGTAGATAAACTTGGGTTGTTTTAAGCAACCAAATTTGTGATATTTTGTTATAGCAGCACTATGAAAATAACACAGAAAGTGAGAGCATAAATGCTGTATGCCTGGGGAGGCTCTACTGAGATGGGAAAAATACACTGAAAGTACAGCTAGGTCTAACTGAGGACACGTTTTTTCTCTATGGTTTTGCCTTTGTCAGACCTTCAGCTTCAGTCACTCTGTGGTCACTATAAGGGAACAGCAGCAGCAATAAAAGGAAAAGTCCACAAACAGTCTTATGAACTGTGTTTGTAATTGAATAATTATGATGGCTTTAAAAATTTATTTATGTGATTTTAATGTATTTTTGCTGGTCAGAGAGGGAGAGAGAGAGAGAGACATATGAAAGGACCTGGTAATTTTGAGATGGAATTTTAAAATAGCGCTAAGGACCTATAAAATGTTGTTCTTTTTTTGTTTTTATTTTTATTTATTTATTTTTAATATTTTATTGATTTTTACAGAGAGGAAGGAAGAGGGATAGAGAGTTAGAAACATCGATGAGGGAGAAACATCAATCAGCTGCCTCCTGCACACCCCCTACTGGGTATGTGCCCGCAACCAAGGTACATGCCCTTGACCACAATTGAACCTGGGACCCTTGAGTCCGCAGGCCGACGATCTATCCACTGAGCCAAACCGGTCAGGGCTGTTCTTCTTTAAAAAAAAAAAAATATTTTATTGATTTTTTACAGAGAGGAGGGGAGAGGGATAGCGAGTTAGAAACACTGATGAGAGAGAAACATCGACCAGCTGCCTCCTGCACACCCCCTACTGGGGATGTGCCCTCAACCAAGGTACATGTCCTTGACCAGAATCGAACGTGGGACCCTTCAGTCTGCAGACCGACACTCTATCCACTGAGCCAAACCAGTTAGGGCTCTTATTCTTTAAAAAGCTAATGTTCAGAGAACTTCTGATAATGGTGACATGAAGTGTTGGTAGTTACTCTCTTTAAAAAAAAAAGGATGTATGAAACTGGAAGAAGTTTTATAAATAACTATTTTAGGGTACTGGAAATTGCTTAAAGGCAGAAAACAGATTTAGAAGTTTGTTTTTTCTCTTAAAAAAAACTGCTTGAGCTTCTAGTAAGAATAGAGGGGCCTCTGGCCCTTCTACTTGTGGCTGTTCTATTGCTGTCCCTCTTCGCCCAAATCTCTGTTGGTGAGAACTGTAGTTTTCCAACCTAGGCTGGCCATGAAAACCACCAGTTCTTTTGTCAGATAGGCAGACTTGGATCTGGGTGGAGGGCAAAAACCTGTACCTTTGCTAGGCCGAGGTTGCAGACCATAGGCAAGTGGTGGATTCGTCAGAGATTTAACAAGGATGTCCTGTATGGGAACCATGGAAGAGCTGGGCTCACTCTGTATGCATTCCTGTGTGATAGGAAACTACACATGTACACAGGAGACACCAGAGCCCAAACTTTAAAACTGGCTGTGACTTTGAATAAATTATTCACCCCCCACACAGATCAGTCATCAGAAAATGAAAGCCTTACTGGTTTAGATGTTTTAACACATCTGTGCCCAGATTATTGGCTTATCATTAAAAGAAGGGGTAGCCTGGTTAAAAAAACAAGAACAAAATGACTGAATAGAGACATTAATAACTGAATATCTTGGGGGAGACAGATTGCACAATTTAAGCCTAGGCAAGTTACTAAATACAAACAAAACAGAAGCAACCCTCAGAAAAGTTAAATAGGGCCTGGTTTTGCTATAATATATTATCTAAATGTAATTTTCAACTACAGATGACTAGATATGCAGGGTCACACAGGAAAGTGTAGCCCGTATGCAAATGGGGGAAAAAAAGTAGAAATGGACTCTAGTGGACCCAGATGTTAGATTTAGCAATAGTTTCAAAGCAGTTACTATAAATATATTCAAAGAATTAAAGGAACTGTATTCAAAGAATTAAAAATATACTAACAATGAATCAAATAGGAAATCTCAATAAATGGGAACTGTAATAAAGAACCAAATGAAAACCCCACATTTGAAAAGTATAACTGAGGCTTGAAGCTAATAATTACCACATTTTAAAAATTTACTTAGTTTTTCTTGACTTGCAGGCTAAGTCTCAATCCCTCTCTAAAATGCCACTTAATAAAATTGTTTGTACAGTTTTTTAAAGAGTATAACTGAAATAAACTCACCAGATAACTTATATTGATCCTTCAAAAATAATAATAGGAAAAGTACATTAGAATTCAGAGAAGAGAACATATTTAACAGGGGTGATGGGATGGTATTTGAGGCAAATCTTCAAAAAAAGATCCAGCAAGGTTTGGATATTCACTGATGGCAATAGAGTGTGTGTGTGTGTGTGTGTGTGTGTGTGTGTGTGCGCGCGCGCGCGCGCATGTGTGGCATTTTACGTAGAGGACACAAACCCAGAGGATAGAATTTCATTGTAGATAAACAAAAAGCAGTTCAGTTTGGTTTGTTTGTTGTTAATGGCACCATACACTGGCACAGGCTGTGTTTGTGTAGAGAGGGAAGAGATAGTTTGACAATAGCTATCAATGTTAAAGATACAGATATTCTTTTTCCCCGCAACTTTTAGGACTTTATCTTACAGATATACTTGTAGAAATAGATAATCACATCCCTAACCGGTTTGGCTCAATGGATCGAGCATTGGCCTGTGGACTGAAGGGTTCCAGGTTCTATTCCGGTCAAGGGCATGTACGTTGGTTGCGGGCACATCCCCAGTAGGGAGTGGGCAGGAGGCAGCTGATCGATGTTTCTCTCTCATCCATGTTTCTCTCTCATCCATGTTTCTAACTCTCTATCCCTCTCCCTTCCTCTCTGTAAAAAAAAATCAATAAAAATATATTTTTTTAAAAAGAAATAGACAATCACAATATTGTTGCAACAGCATAAAACTGGAAGCAAAGTATTGATGTGTAGGGGATAAGGTAAAGAATATAATAAAAGCATAATATGCTAATTAGACCAGACAGCTGAACGACCTTCCGGACGAAGCCGAGGCTGCGAGGGCCGAGCCCCTTGAATGAATTTTGTGCATTGGGCCTCTAAAATATATATATGTATATATATATATATACATACACACACACACACACACACACACACACACATATGTATATATAATAATCTTATTTGAAGATAGGGTTGGTATATGGACAGATAAAATATTTCTGGAAGAAGAACCAGCAAACTGTTGACAGTGATTTCATTCTAGTCTGGAGGTGGCATAGGGAAATGTTCTCTTGTTTTCTGTCCTCCAAGGACATTAAAAAAAGAAAACTTTTTAAAGACCTTTAGAGCTTAAAATTCATAGCTCTGGGCTCCTTTCAGTACTTGAGGCTGCTTCTACATAAATAATTTTGATTTCAGATGTAGGAGGGTGGAGGTGAGGTAAGATGACAAAATGAATTTTTGTACTGAACAATAAACAGATTATGGGTTGGACTTTTAAAGAACATTTTATTTACTGCCATTTGGAGGATGTCTTGAGGAGAACGTTCATAAAAACTAGAGGCCCAGTGCACGAATTTGTGCACGGGTGGGGTCCCTCGGGATGGCCTGCTGAGATTGGCCCCCAGCTTGCGCCCCCAGCCTCGCAGCCCCGCCTGGCACCCCATTTTGGCTTTGCGCCGCCCCCTCACCTGTTCTTCAATCCAGCCTACAGGGTGATCGATCGGGGCTGGGCCCCCCCGCCCAGCTCCCTCAGTGCCTGGGAGCTGGGCAATGGCCCCACCCCCTGCTGCCACCATTGGTCGCCTTCTGAGGTCCAATTGGCAGAGCAATGAGGCCCCCGCTCACACCCACCCTGACCTGGTGCCGCCCACTCAACTGCTCCACCATCCCGCCATGCTCCTCCTCTCATCGGGGTCCATTGGGGCTGCCAGCGCCATGTCGCTGACTCCCGCCATGTTCCATGCTGCCTCCTGGTGATCAGCAAACATCATAGCGAGTGGTCAAACAACCGCCCAAGGGGACAATTTGCATATTAGTCTTTTATTATATAGGATAGGATAAGCATTCACAACTTTTTGCATATCTAGAGTTAAAATAAATTAGGCAATAAGTAATGTCTTTCATAATCTTTATTTTTAAAAATTATTAAATACACATTGAGGAGAGCCTAGGACAGGAATTTTCAATAAGCAAGATCACCAACTAGAACTTTCATGTTTGTAAAGTTTGGCTGCAAATTTGTGGTTTTTAAAGGCCTTTGTAAAGACAGATAAATAAATTTTCATTATTATAAAGTACCATAGCAAGAATAAACTATTTTCTGATACATTGTCATCTACCTAATGTGTTATTGAGTAAAAGAATCAAGAATTCCTTTAATTATGATACCTAAGTTAACCATTTGTCTCTTTGAAATAGCACAAGTGTATCATGGCTGGTAATTATTTTACTGCCACTTAGAAATCTTTCAAACTTTCTCTTTCTATAATAGAGGACTTAATGTTATCAGTTAATCAAAGCAAAATTTCAGTGCTAGCTTTCATGATTCATCTTTAAAATTAAACTTTTAAAGCAAAACTGTTATTTAATGTCCCTTCCCTTGTGATTTCAGCACATTGCTTCTCATTTGTAGTAGAATGATAGAAGTATTTTACTAAATGAAGGAAATTCTGATTGTAGGTTCAGTTGCCATTAAAAAAAGAAAGAAACACCTGTACTTCAAACCTGTCTTGTTAAAATTTTCTTAAGGGATTTATTTTTTAATGTTTTTCAAATAATATATTTTTGTATTCTGAAGTTTCCCCCTGTTTAATAGCAATGATTTCTTTTTTCTTCTTCTTTTTTTTAAGGTATGGACTGCGAGAGTTCGTGGTGCTCGCCCCTGCAGCAAATAGCGATGCTGTTCTCAGTGAATCTAAGTGCAATCTTCTTCTGAGTTCTGTGTCTATTGCTTTGGGAAACACTGGCTGGTAGGGGACATTTTGAAAAATAGACAATAAGTTAAAAACTATTTTTAATTATATTTTATGATGGAAAATGGTTACCAAGTGTTAAGTTTTTTTATTATACTTGGGATTACTACTTGTACATTATACTTTTGGAATATTGTATATAAGACTAACTCAACAAAACCTTTAGGGAAAGCATTTGTGAAAGGAAACTTACTGAAATACTCAATGAATGTTCGAAATGAAGAGTACTGTTTTTGTGCTTTGCTTCCAAATGTTTATTTTATTTAAATTTTGTTACAAAATCTAATTTTAAAACTTGACAGCATTGCCTTGTTCAACCTCAACTGGGAACACGCACATCAAGTGACTCAGAATTTTTAATGCTCTCCACATGTCTGCAAATGACTGTGAAAATGCTGCAAGTATTGATTTTGGGGTTACAAATAAATTTTGGCAAGTGGGCTAATTTGCACATAGGAAAATCTATGAGTAATAAGGATTAACTGTATCCTCAAATGATAAAGTAAAAAGCATATCATCATGAATGTTGGTTTAATTTGTATTATTTAGTACCTGTGAACCAAGTTTATGTATTATGACCTTGGAAAGGCTAATATGATATGATCATTTTTATTGAATAAAATTTTCATTCTACTTTTTAAAAAACTTTCAACCATTAAAAAATTCCTATTTTAATTATGTCCTACAGCCAGGTGCCCCTCTTTGCACAAATTCATCACAAATGGCGAAGAATGTATGTGGGAGAATGTCAGGGTCCTGGTGTCCGAACTGATTTTGAAATGGTTCATCTTCGAAAAGTGCCAAATCAGTACACTCATTTATCGGGTCTGCTGGATATCTTCAAATCAAAGATTGTAAGTTGGCATTGATATTTTGAGTCTTTTCTGGAATCCAGATGAAAGTAGCAATTTGGTAATTTGATTGAGTATATAGAAATATTTCTCTATAATATTGATAATGGGATTACTTAGAAGAAATATGTAATTAACTATATAAATTATAAATAACTGTTGTTGTTTTTTTAATTTTTATATATAGAGAGAAACATTGATATAAGAGCTAAACATCACTGGGCTGCCTCCTATAAGCCCCCTACGGGGGTTGGAGCCTGAAACCAGGGCATGTGCCCTGACTGAGAATCGAATAGAATATAAGACAGATTTATCTTAAAAATAAAATCATCCCAGCTGGTGTGGCTCAATGGTTAAGTGTCGACCTATGAACCTGGAGGTCACGATTCAATTCCCAGTTAGTGCACATGCCCAGTACGTGGGCTTGATCTCCAGTGGAGGGGCATGCAGGAGGCATTCCTACCAAAAAGGTTTAACATAAATCAAAACATAAGGAAATACCTGTATATTTCCCAAATGAGCCATATTTTGGAAAGAAACTGGCCTAGACTCTTCAAAAATGTCACTTTCAGAATAGGGAAAATAAAAATAAGGAGCTGCTTAGTTTAGAGGAGACTGAAGTGATATAATAGCTAAATGGAATACATGATCCTTGATCAAAACAAAATAGCCAGCCCTAGCTGGTTTGCCTCAGTGGATAGAGCATCGGCCTGTGAAGTGAAGGGTCCCAGGTTGGATTCAGGTCAAGGGCACATGCCCAGGTTGCTGGCTTGATCCCCAGTGGGGGACATGCAGGAAGCAGCCAATCAGTGATTCTCTCTCATCATTGATGCTTCTATCTCTCCCTCTCCCTTCCTCTCTGAAATCAATAAAAAGCATTTTTAAAAGAAAGAAATGCTGGCATATAGGAAACTACATTGTATGCTCATGTCTATAAAAAAAATCAAAACACAAAATAGCCATAAGTGACACAATTGGGACAATTTTAATAATGACTGTATATTAGAAATTGGCATTAATGTTAAACTTCTTGAGTGATAATCTACACTAATAAAAGAGAAACATGGTAATTAGCATGTGACCGCTACCCTTTTCATTGGCTAATCAGTGAGTATATGCAAATTAACTGTCAGCCAAGATGGCGGCCGGCAGCCAGGCACTGAAGCGAGCATGAGGCTTGCTTGCTGCGGACTCCAACGTTCCCTGCCTCACTTGCCAGCCTCTCAACTGCAAGTCTAAGCAACTATGTACTATGTTGCAAATAAGAAGGTAAACAAAACCCCAGAAATCAGCCGGACTGAAATCCAGCCAGACTGAAACATTGTATTCATGTTTTCAGCAGCGAGGCCTCAGAGCTAAAGCTGGCCCAGAATAAAAAAAAAAAAAGAAAACAAGGAGCGGTTGGGAGCTTTAGTTACTCGCCACCCAGAAAACAGCCCTCAGCCCCTCACCCAGACTGGCCAGGCACCCCAGTGGGGACCACCCTGATCCAGGACACCCTTCAGGGCAAACCAGCCGGCCCCCACTCGTGCACCAGGCCGCTATCCTATATAGTAAAAGGGTAATATGCCTCCTGGCACCGGGATCAGTGGAGCAGCAAGGCTCCCGGCACCGGGATCAGTGTGACAGGGGGCAGCGCCCAAAACCCCTGATCGCCCTGCGGCTCTGTGTGTGACAGGGGGCGGGGCCACAACCTCCCTATCCGCCCTGCTCTGTTCATGACAGGGAAAGGCGCCCCAACCCCCTGATCAGCCCTGCTCTGTGCCTGATGGGGGGCGTTCCCCAATCCCTGGATCACCCTTGCTTTGTGTGTGACAGGGTGCGGCGCCCCAACCCCCCCCCCCCCGCCCCCATGGGCCCTGCTCTGTGTGTGACAGGGTAGAGCCCCGAGTGTGATAGCGGTGGTGCCCCATCCCCCTGATCGGCCCTGCTCTGTGGGTGATAGAGGGTGGCGCCCCCAACCCCCCTCCACGGGCCTTCTCTGTGTGTGACAGGGTAGGGCCATAACCTCCCCATTGGCCCTGCCCTGAGTGTGACAGGGTACAGCGCCCCAACCCCCTGATCTGCCCTGCTCTGTGTGTGACAGGGGGCGGTGCCCCAACTCCCCTACCGGCCCTACTCTGTGAGTGACAGGGGGGAGCTCCTCAACCCCCTGATCGGCCCTGCTCTGTGCATGACACGGGGGAGCTCCCCAACCCCCCTGATGGGCCCTGCTCTGTGAGTGACAGGGGGCAGCGCCCCAACCCCCTGATGGGCCCTGCTCTGTGAGTGACAGGGGGCGGTGCCCCAACCCCCTGATGGGCCCTGCTCTGTGAATCACAGGGGGTGGCGCCGCAACCTCTCCATTGACCCTGCCTTGAGTGTGATAGGGGGCGGTTCCCCAGACCCCCCAATCAGCCCTACCCTGAGCGTGACTGAGGTGGCATCGCAACCTCCCAATCCGCCCTGCTCTGTGCATGACAGGGGGCACCCAACTCCCAATCAGCCCTGCTCTGAGCCCGACTAGGGGCTGCACCTAGGGATTGGGCCTGCCCTCTGCCACCCGGGAGCAGGCCTAAGCCAGCAGGTCGTTATCTCCCGAGGGTTCCCAGACTGCGATAGGGCACAGGCCAGGCTGAGGGACCCCCCCTTCCCTCCCGAGTGCACAAATTTTTGTGCACCGGGCCTCTAGTCTTACCTAATAATAGGCAAACGTGCAAATTGAATGTACTTTCGCTATGCCTTAAGCCACACCCACCAGCCAATCAGAGCGACTATATGCAAATTAACTCAACCAAGATGGCGGCCGGCAGCCACGGAGCTGGAGTGAGCAGGAGGCTTGCTTGCTCCAGTGATGGAGGAAACCAGCCTGCCGCCGGCTCTGAGCTCCACTCAAAAGCAACAAAGTTTCAATTATAGAAGATAAATAAACCCCAGATACCTGCTTTTAGCAGGCTGTGGCCATGGAGCTGGAGCGAACAGGAGGCTTGCTTGCCCCTGCAATGGAAGAAGCCAAGCTTCCCGGTGGCTGCTGCCTCCTCTCAAGGCAACAAAGTTTCAGTTATAGAAGGTAAATAAACCCCAGATAACTGCTTCAGTCGCCATGGCCACGGATCTGGAGCGAATAAAAACAAAAAAACAAAAAAAGGAAAGGCTGGGAGCTTCAGTCGCCAGGGAGCTTGGTCAGTCTGAAAACAGCCATCAGCCCCTCACCCAGGCTGACCAGGCACCCCAGTGGGGGACCCCCCACCCTGAAGGGGGGTGTGGGGAAGCCTGAAAACGGCCCTCAGCCCCTCACCCAGGCTGGCCCAGGCACCCCAGCGGGACCCGCACCCTGATCCAGGACACCCTTCAGGGCAAACCAGTTGGCCCCCACCCGTGCACCAGGCCTCTATTCTATATAATAAAAGGGTAATATGCAAATTGACCCTAACAGCAGAACAACTGGGAATGACTAGTCACTATGACACATACTGACCACCAGGGGTCAGACGCTCAATGCAGGAGCTGCCCCCTGGTGGTCAGTGCGCTCCCATAGGGGGAGCTCTGCTCAGCCACAAGCCAGGCTGCCGGCTGCCAGTACAGTGGTGGTGGTGGGAGCCTCTCGCCTCCTCAGCAGCGCTAAGGATGTCCAACTTCACCTTAGGCCTGCTCCCCGCTGGCAAGTGGACATCCCCTGAGGGCTGCCGGGCTACCAGAGGGATGTCTGACTGCCAGCTTGGGCTCGGTCCCCCAGGAAGCGGGCCTAAGCCAGCAAGTGGACATCCTCCGAGGGGTCCCAGACTGCAAGAGGCCGGGCTGAGGGACCCCTCTTGAGTGCACAAATTTTTGTGCACCGGGCCTCTAGTTGTTTTATGATTGTGTATAGTTAAAGCTACCCAGTATGTAACTCTCCTATACTATCCTTATAAAAATTACTCTTTAACATCTACTTGAAGTGTCCCAGTGCTCTTATTTTTCACTGGCACTTGATTTTATTTTTACATATATTTAATTATTAGAAAAGACTTCCTTTTGGGTGGGAGCAGTTCTGCCCTCTAGTGTCACATAAAATTTAAGTTTAAATCCTCTTCTGCCACATCCTCTAATGAAATATATATATATATATAATGTATATATTATATATATATATATATATATATATATATATATATATATATAAATAATTTTAAATCCTCACCTGAGGATATGTTTTTCTTGATTTTGAGAGAGAAAGAGGGAGAGGGAGAGAAAGAAACATCAATTAGTTATCTCCTACTAGTACAGCGATGGCGAACCTTTTGAGCTTGGCGTGTCAGCATTTTGAAAAACCCTAACTTAACTCTGGTGCCGTGTCACATATAGAAATTTTTTGATATTTGCAACCATAGTTAAACAAAGACTTATATTTTTGATATTTATTTTATATATTTAAATGCCATTTAACAAAGAAAAATCAACCAAAAAAATGAGTTTGCGTGTCACCTCTGACACGCGTGTCATAGGTTCGCCATCACTGTACTAGTATACGCATCCCAACTGGAAATTGAGCCTGCCTATTGGTGTATGGGATGACACTCCATCCAACTGAACTACCAGGCCAGGGTGCCTCTAAATCTTTGAAAACTTTCACACACTAGTTTTTTTCTTTTTCTGTTTAGACATTCTTCATTTTTCCCCCCAGGTGCTCTTTATATTTCATGGTTTTATATTTGGATTGTTGATTTTGATATTTGTCTCTTTTAGAACTACATTTCATCATGTTTTGGATAAAAGTTTTTTGCAGGCTCATTTTAAATATTTAACATTTTTAACTTTCCCACTTTTTCTAGTGGTTTTGTGGTTGCTCCCTACCTCCAGAATATTTTAGAAACACGTTTTAAAATGGTGTTTGGAGCCTCTTATTCTGTGGTGATATTTGGGGTATTAGAGTTACTGCATTATTTGCTCAGATCATAAGAGTGAGTGTTTTCCCCTTACACAATAATTCTTCCGAGTCCCATAGTTTCCAACAAGGCCACTGTACCAAGCAGGAGTGCCCTGCCCCAGTGTCTGTCTTAAACAGAGGGTCTTGCAGTGCCCGCCTTCTTCTGTGTGGAACACTTTTGGTCCCATATAGTGCAGTCTGCAATCCTAGGCTGTCAACTCAGCAGGCATGTGCCTTGATCCCCATTTATCATTTTTCCATTCCTTTTTTAGGACCCATAAAGATATATATGTCATGTTTGATCTTAGCTATTTCTTTTTGGTTTTCTCTTTCTATATTTATGTACATTGCTATCTGACTGGAGCAGAGGTTACGTTACAAAGCAACCTTGTTATAGTGTCTAGACCATTTGTACCTTATTACATGTGAGCTCTCATTTGCTATCTGGACCTGGCTAAAAAGATGATTAGTGACCAGCCAGAATCTTATCTTGCTTGTATGGGATACAGCAACCCAAAACCAAATTATCTTTTTGGCAACCACCTTATATTGTGACTTTAGATTAAGTTTGTATTCAGTTAAAGCTACTAGTGACATTTATAGATGCTGCTGTTGAGCTAAATGTCTCTTCTTCCTCCTAACCAGCAGTATCTACAACACCTGGAAACTGGTTAGATATGCAGAATACTATTGAATCTACATTTTTACAGGCTCCTGAAGTGATTCCTATGCACTTTTAAGCCCTATTCCACATTTATGTAGGATGAGTAGTATTAAGGGAAGCTGAAGTCACAGGATGTTTGGATGACATTAATTTTTATGATTTTTAATGAAGGTAAAGATAAATCTAAATTTTCTGTTAACTGATTCATTACAGTAAATTAGTTTGCATGAGTGACCATTTGTTTTAGTCTAAAACTTTGGTTCAGTATTCAAGACTGGCTTTAATTTGAGTTTATTTTCACTTAAAAGAAAGAAAAGACATTTATCATCTCCCCAAATCTAGTCTTACACTTGGTAATAGTTTTACCTTATTTAAAAAATGAATTACAGGTTTTTCATATTTAATATGGCTGAAGAGTATAGTAAGAAATTATCTATAGTGGGGGCTTGCCTGGGGTGGGAATGGTTGAGGGGGGGGGCATCAAATGGGGAAAAAGGAGACACATGTAAAACTTTAGACAATTAATTTTTTTAAAAAGACATCTATATATATATATATAAAAGCCTAAGTGACTGTTACGACCAAATGACCAGAATGACCAGTTGACCAATCGCTATGATGTGCACTGACCACTAGGGGGCAGACGCTCAACACAGGAGCTGCCCCCTGGTGGTCAGTGCACTCCCACAGCCCCTCCCCCTGACTGGCCAAACTCCCATGGCCCCTTGCCTCCCCCCGCTGGCTGGCCAACCTCCCACGGCCCCTCTCCCCGGGCCAGCCAACCTCCCGTGGTCCCTCTCCCTGGCCGGCCAGCCCCCCAATAGGCCTTGATCGCCAGCCAGGCCGAGGGACCCCACCCATGCACGAATTCGTGCACCAGTTATAATAATAAAAGTGTAATATGCAAATCAACTGAACGGCTGACCAGCAGAACAACCGTCTGGACAACCTTCTGGATGAAGCCAGGGATGTGAGGGCCAAGGCAGCTGGGGCTGCGAGGGCAGAGCCCTCTTGCATGAATGTCGTACATCGGGCCTCTAGTACTTGTATAATTGAAATTGTATATGATATTTTGAAAGAGTAATTTGCTTAATAGGATTTAGTATCTTGTTTCCAGGTAGTAATTTAAACAGTTTTATTCTAATATTTTGTTCTCTGGCATTGTTTTTTAAAATACTTTGTGTGTTTTTTAAGCTACACCATTCTGTCTTTGCATTTATTTCCTAGGGATGCCCTTTAACACCATTGCCTGCAGTTAGTATTGCTATTCGATTGACCTATGTACTTCAGGATTGGCAGCAGTATTTTTGGCCTCAGCAACCTCCAGGTGAGATAATTTAAAACTATATTTCACTTACTGAATATAAATAGAAAAGAAAATATATTCAGAAATTAAAATTATTTAAGAGTGTGTTTTAGGTGTTTTAAATTTGAAATATCTGTAGTTTATTCTAAATGCAATATTGCTGATTTCATTTCCTTCATTTTTTTCTCTTAAAAAAAACCTCTTTAGATTGTTCTAGAGACAGTATTACTCTATGCTTGACAACTTGTCTTTGAAAGCTAATACTGCTTATAAAGCATCCCCCTGCTGTGGAACATCATGTGCTATATGCAGTGAATGATTAAAATGTCTGTTTTTAGAATATTATAATAAGAGAAGCTATCATAAGCTGAGGATGGACTGCAGAGAACTTTATAGAGTTTGAAGAAGAGTGTTAAATAAGGAAAGCAGAATAAAAAATGTTTGTATACCCATATACTTATGATGGGAAGGCCTGTAGAATATTGTATTTTAACTTGCGTTTGATAAAAATGCAATTAAAATCAATTTACTTGCTTAGCCATTAAAATACTGCTTCATTCAACAATCATTAATGATCTATGATAATAAAAGCCTAATATGCTAATTAGACCGGACGTCATTCCAGACGAAGCCGGGGCCAGAGCAAAGCCCGAGTCCCAGATGCCTGCCAGCGGCCGGAGGGAAGCCCAAGTCCGGGGTGCCAAAGGGAAGTCAGTGCCAGCAGCTGGGGAAAGGATGAATTTTGTTCATCGGGTCTCTAGTAGGCTTATAATAGGCCAGACTGTGCTAGAGACACAAATATAAATAAGATGTCATAAAAGTTCTAGAAAAGCTCAGCCTGAGAGACATAGAGCCTAATTAAGTGAGGTTTTGTTTTCTGGGTGTTTCTCTTACTTAAAAGTGTAATTATATTCACGTATATCTAAAAAGAAATTAAATACAAACATAAATTATTATAAGGATTTTACTAGCCTGAAAACATTTTTCAGTCTCCCTCCCTCAGAGAAATAAATGAGAATTAAAGAATATTCTTTACTGTTTATTTTTATTCTAAGTAGTTGGTTATTTATAGGATTGAAAATAATAAATTGGTAATCTTGGGATGATATTAAAAGTAATGTAATACACTCTTAGCTTTGGTAGTTATATATACTACTACTATCTTAGTTTATGTACCATTGAATAATTTGAAACTAATCTATAATAATAAAAGCGTAATAATGCTAATTAGACTGGACATCCTTCCGGACAACTTTCCGGACAAAGCCAGGGCTGGGAGGGAAGCCCTGGTCCTGGGTACCTGCCAGAGGCCGGAGGGAAGCACGGGTCCCGGGTGCCAGAGGGAAGCCTGTTCCAGCAGCCAGGGGAAGGAAGGCCTATTCTTGCACAAATTTCGTGCATTGGGCCTCTAGTGTACAATAAAAGAGCTGCATCTAAACTACAGCAAGAGGAAATAAAAGCTGAACTGACATATATATTAGAAGAAAGACTCAAATGTTTGTTTTGGTAATTTTAGTTCTTAGACAACAGTACCCACTAGACCAGTGATGGCGAACCTATGACGCGTGTCAGAGGTGACACTTGAACTCATTTTTTTGGTTGATTTTTCTTTGTTAAATGACATTTAAATATATAAAATAAATATCAAAAATATAAGTCTTTGTTTTACTATGGTTGCAAATATCAAAAAATTTCTATATGTGACACGGCACCAGTTAAGTTAGGGTTTTTCAAAATGCTAACACGCCGAGCTCAAAAGGTTCGCCGTCACTGCACTAGACAATTTATAGTTAGCTTCTAGTTATAAGTTTAAATTCCTACCCTCCTTTTCTTTTCTTTTTTAAAGGCTGCTCTAATATTAGTCAATTTTAAAGATTTCCCATGATGGTACCTTGGTCTGTTGCTGATCTAAGAAGAAGCCCAAGAAGAGCCAAAATTTTAGCAATGTAATTCTTATTGCCAATAAGGCCTTTGTTAACATTCTATTGCCGATTTTTTTAAATGGATATAAAAATTTTAACCTTCCTCTTCAGTGGATTGAAGGCCATATACATTTTTACTGTTTTCTCCTATACAGAGAATAAAGGGATTGAAAATGTAATATGAACCAGACCCTGTGCTTGGCATTTTATATATTATTTCATATAATTTTCATTTACAGATATTACTATCTTTCTCAGAGAACATAAGTAACTGGACTGAGGTCACATGGTCACCAAATGATAAAGTTCTCATTCAAACATTGGTCAAACTCTAAATCTCATGGTCTTTTCATTTCATAATATTCTCAACTTTTAGTTAAAACTTTTGTGCAGTTATAGTCTAGTAATTTTAATTTACAAAATGTGCTTATTATAAATTTTGAAGCTCTCAAAAATTGGCATCTTGTAATAAAGCTAGTCATTGTGATCTTTATTATTGTAAGCATTCTTTAGTTGGAAAAATGGATTGAATTGACTTGAGAAAGTTTACTGAATCAAGTAAGTGAACCTTATATAATGACTAATTTTAATAATTTAGTTAGGGTATAGTTCGTCAAACATGATTTTAGCAAATCTGCGCATGTTCATAACTCAATAGTAGACTTTAATTTTAGGAATTCCCAGGGTAGTATGAATAATTAAAAAATAACCATCTGTATTATTTCAGATAGAAATAAATCCTCTTGATATGTTTTAGAAGTGTTTATTACTTCTTCAAGAGGAATGGAACTTAGGGGAGTGTTTTACCTTCTAAATTCTCTGATCTCAGATAACCATTCTTAATCGAAAGGAAATTCTTTGGTGAACTTTAAATATTCCCATGTACTATCAACTGAAATATGATTTTATTAATGATGACTAATTTGTTATTCAGAAACTATTGACAGCAAAACTAATGAATGTAGGGTAGTGCTTAAATTTTTTAATACTTGGATAATCTTTCTTTTAGATGATATTAATCACATTCTTAGGAAATGCAAAATAATGTTCTTTTGAATAATATTTAAGAATATTTAAGGAGGTTAAAATTGGAATGCATGATTTGAATTAAACACTGGAATAATAGGAATAGGAAGTGTGTCCTTTACTATAGTTTTCTTGGGGCAAGTCTTTAATACCTGACTGCTTGCAAGTCTTTAATACCTGACTTGCTGTATGAGCTCTTGAAGTAGGCACTTTTATTTATTTTTTTTAAATATATTTGATTGATTTTTTACAGAGAGGAAGGGAGAGGGATAGAGAGTTAGAAACATCGATGAGAGAGAAACATCGCTCAGCTGCCTCCTGCACGCCCTCTACTGGGAATATGCCTGCAACCAAGGTATATGCCCTTGACCGGAATCGAACCTAGGACTCTTCAGTCCCCAGGCCGACGCTCTATCCAGTGAGCCAAACTGGCCAGGGCAACATTTTCTCTTGATAAGCAGGATGGGGCGTTTGTTTCATGCCGGCCGACCGAATACAGAGTGGTGGCATGTAGAATGCCTCTCAGATGGCGGATGGCGTCCTCCCATGTCCTTTACCCATGTAGGCTGAAGGAACTGGTTTCTTGGAGCCACTGTAGATGATGAGTCCAAACTCCTAGGAGCCTCATCGATAAGTCGTGTCAAGACTTTGGACAGTGAGCCACACTTTGGACCTCTCCAGAAAGCCTACTAAGGATCTGGAACCAGGTAGTCTTGGATGGTAACATCTTGAGAACAGACGTGGCTGCTCTCAATGAGGTGTCTTATCCGTGGCACAGTTGATGTTTCCTTAGAGAAGATGAAAGTAGTAAAGAGAAACTCGCAGGAAGCAAAACTAGGAAGGAACCCCCCCGCTCCCCACCCCAATTGGTGCTGAGCTCAAGGACATC